TCGGGTTCGGATCGGGTATTTCGGGTTTTCGGGTATTTCGGTATTGGGGTATAGAACCCGTTCGGGTATTTTTACATATCGGGTCGGGTTCGGATATTTTCAGTTCGGGTTCGGTTATTTCGGGTCGGGTTCGGATATTTAGATTTTGAAAGAAAATTTCAAATTCTTTGTTACTTAAGTTTCATGTATTTAAAATTTAACTATTAGTTTAACTGTTTTTAAAATGTTTAATAAGTTAGACGATTAATAATTTTGAAAATAAATTATTGAAAATAAAATTCATTATTTTGGTTGTTATTTTTGAATTTTGGATGCAAATTTTGTTTAAAATAGGAAATAAGAAGCTTAATATGCATTTTAAATGAGTAACAAATTATTATTTTTTTACAATTATATGTATATTATCTGATCTTAAACTCTATATAACATTAATATAATATTATTACTAAAANTTGAAAATAAATTATTGAAAATAAAATTCATTATTTTGGTTGTTATTTTTGAATTTTGGATGCAAATTTTGTTTAAAATAGGAAATAAGAAGCTTAATATGCATTTTAAATGAGTAACAAATTATTATTTTTTTACAATTATATGTATATTATCTGATCTTAAACTCTATATAACATTAATATAATATTATTACTAAAAAGAGACAAATAAACTAGGAATAAATATGTATATATACATATGTTCGGTTATCTTCGGATACCCGTTCGGGTTCGGGTAATACCCGTTCGGGTTCGGATATCCAAACTCTCCTAACTCAATACCCGTTCGGGTATTTTGCTACTTCGGTTCGGATTTCGGTTCGGATATTTCGGGTCGGGTTCGGGTACGAGTTCGGGTATCGGATAAAGTGCCCACCCCTAATTAGAATTACTTGCCTTCGCGAGACCAGATCGTGTCATCTTCTCCGTCTTGTTCTTCTTTCTTTTTTTTTATTTTTTTTGAAAAAGGGCATTCTAACTCCGTTCTGTTCTTGCGAGTAACAGAGAACTCTTTGAGCGATGCAGAGAGAAAGGTTAGGAGATTGAGAGATTAAAGAGTATAGAAGAGGTTTGTACTTTCAGCTCGGGTTAGTGTTTCTCTCCAACTTCTCTTTTCTTATCTCTTCTTGGGACTTCTTCTTCTTGTAACATATTGAATCTAGGTTCTCAACACTGTTACTCTTCTTCTTCCGCGGAAAGCCGACATAGATGATCCCTACATCTTCAGTCGAAAGTAATAAAAATCCACAAGAACAACGTTACGTCAAAAGATCACGTGAAAACTCTTTACTAAAATTCTATACAAAATCAGCTCAAAAAAATGGTGAATAAGAAAATATATTTAGGAGAGTGTCTCTCCAATTGACACATGTCAAACTTGGTGTGAAATCATTAACTTTAATTCTTCTATTTTAATATATAAGGGATGTAAGGTTTTGTTTATGCAAAATTGCAAATAAACAATATTCAATTTTATAGGGAAGTTTATTGTTTGAAGCACTAATAATACATAACATTATAATATTCTTTTTTGAACGGAAAACACTATAATATTTGTAGACAAAAAATGTAGAAACTACAGTACTGTGAGGAACTAGGAAGACGAGGCAGTCCTCCTAAAGCATGAGAAAGGTTAGAGCCACCACATTTAACCTTATAACGTTTAAAACAATTACGATAGTGAGGTTTACAAGGTTTATAACATTCGCGAAAAACATTTAACCCAATCTTTTCTTTCCTTTGCTTCTACTGTGACCATAATAGCAATCACCACCATCATTCTTAACACTATCACACTCCATTTGGCCATTCTTAGATCTTACAAAATCAAGCTTTGTTCTACCTTTTTCTCTCTCAATTTTATCTTATGATTATTATATAATTTCCAAGAAATAAAAATCTATTTATAATATTTTCATTTCCATCATTTTAACTTTGAGTAGATTTTCTAGCTAAAGTTTGCCATTGGTCTTATATGGTTCTATCTTTTTATTTCCTCCTATGTTAAAAGTTTGATATGTTTTCACAGCATTAAATTTTATTTAAACGAATAAAATAGATTTTATTAAAAAAAATAGATTTTATTACTTATAGATATTTCAATAAATCTGATTTATTTAATTATTATTTCAAAGAAATTTTAATGTGATTATATATAAGTAGTTGTCTGTAATATAATTTTTCTTGCATATAATTTAGTTCAAGGATTCAATTTCTTTTGCAATTTTTTCAAACAGAGTTTTTTTTTTTAATTTGAGATTTCACCTTTAGTAATAGATAATAATGAATTTTAGGTGAAAATATTGATGTTAATTAAAAACAATTTATCTTTTCTTATTTGAATGTTCCTCTCTGTGTTTTGTTTTTCAGAATAAGAGATTTGATATTTAGTACTTTATTTTGATTTTAAAATTACACTTTCCATAAAATTTATTTTGTTTAGTTTATTTAATATTAATATAGTTTATTTGGTGGTTAATGACGTCAATGAATTCATGAATCTCTTATATATTAAAAGAGAAGCATTGTGATAAATGTGTTCATACCATAACTGACACGTGTCGACTGCACAATCATTTGACAATTAATGCGTTCACACACTATTTTTTTTAAATTTATTATGTAATGTGTTTATACACTATTTCTTAATTCATTCATTTTCTACATTTTTAGCCTTTGTATTAATAAATTAAAATTTTTTACGTGAAACTAATGAATAATATATTTATTGTAAGAATATTACAAAATCATTATGATTCCCATCAACTAAAATGTTGCAATGAAAATGTTTGTAGAAATTAAAAGTTTCGTACCTTGCCAAAGTTGGTCATGGTTGAGGCTTCGGTACACAATAACAACAAATAAGGTGATTCACTATGATTTAAAAAAACTGAGGTGAAAAACACCACACGTAAAGGCGGATCTTTAGTTTAGTCAAATATTAAAGTTTTCATATCACACCAAGAATTAGAAACAAAATCAAATTGGTAGAAAAAGTCAGAAATCAGAAAAACTTTAAAAAGAAATAAAAATCACAAAATCATTTAAAAACATAATTCATGTACCACGTGAAGATGTCATTTTGTAATATGTATGATTTTCATTTAAAAAGGTTTGTTTTATATTTACTTACTTTTATTTAAGAATTTACTATCATGTATTATTCTGAACAATGTTTTAAATCTTAATTAACGATATATTCATATATTTATCATTACATTTATATACTTTTACATATACATACATATACACATTGACATAAACGACTATGTAACTAAATATTCACCACAAGTGAGAATTTTAATTCTTATTGACGTTGAATTTTGTTTTTAATGTTTTCTTTCACTATCACTAAAATTTTAGTGAAATGTTTTATGTTAATAATTTAATTTTCTTTTATCTTCAAATATTATTTAGATTTTATTTGATTTTACATGTCTTTAGAAATTATAATAGGAAACTATTAGTTCGACATAAAAAATGTCTAAAATTTATATAAAATGAAACCAAATAAATAACAATAATTTTTGGTTATCATCGTAAAATAAAAAACATCAAATATTTCAACCAAACAAACCAAAATAAATATAGATTTAGAATGATAGTTATATTTTAGGAGATTAAAAAAATAACATAAAACTGAACTAATATACATGCTAAACATATCATTTTTATCTTAAAAGTACCAAAAGTAATAATATCATTCCGCGTAAGACGCGGATTATTACCTAGTAAAGTATTAAGTTTCTAAACAGTAAAACATGTTTTAATTGTAATGATAACATTTATTTAATTTGTTAGTTAATGTCGTTAGCATATTTGGAAAATAAAATATTAAATTTATAGGTGAATTAAAATAATGTACATATTAAAAAAGGAAATGAAGAATATAGCTATATAACAAATATTACCACAAGAGAAAATGCCCACTATAGCACCAATTCAAGTTTTTGTCCCCAAACTAGCACCAAGGTCCAATATCACAAAAATAAGTTTCATTAAACGGATGAGTTACCCTTATGCCCCTTTATTTTTCTAATTATATATATATATATATATATATATATATATATATATATATATATATATATATATATATATATATATATATATATATATATATATATATTTTAAAAATGAAATCATGAACGACGACAGCTCGTCGTCTTGTCTCCAGCGTCGATCATCTCCAGCGTGAATCATCTCGGCCATCGTCTATCATCGTATCCAGCGTCGCTTGTCTCCGTTGCTCGTCTCCAGCGTCAGTCATCTTTGTCGTCTCTCATCTCCGCCGTAATCATCTCTACTAAAATTTTCAGAGATTTGTGAATCTCTCAAGTCTCTGTTCATCTACAATGGTGGTAACAAAGACAGTTTATTTCATTTCATAAACAATTCTAGATGAAATGATTCTTTGAAGAGTTGGATTTGCGTCTACCTATGGATTTGATGGAAGAGCATATCGTCTCTCTCGCTGCAAATCCGAGGCAACTGCAATTTGAAACATAGCGGATATTAACAAACTGTTTATGTATACAAGGTTGGTTCATTTTGTCGCACAAAAGTCAACCTTTGTGTGAACAGTCCATGATATGGTTTTATTTAGATTTAGGTGTTCCATCTAAGTTAGCTAATGAATACTAATTGTCTGCTAGCTTTAACCAGCTGGGACGAGAAGCTGTTAAGACAGATGCAGAAGAGATCATAGAGATGGCTAGTAAAACCTTTTTGTCTGAGCAACAAAGACTAGTTCAAGAGAACATTCACCACCCTTCCTGATGTTAACAGGAGATGATGGACAGTAAAAAGACAGGAAAGATGAACCTCGAGGAGCTTAAACATGGACTTCATAAACTCTGACAACAGCAGATACATGATACTAATCTACAGATTTTGATGGAAGCTGTAAAACAAAAATTCTATGTATAGTTACCTTCACCAATGTATTTAAAAGTGTTTTTTTGTTTGTTTGTGTGCAGGCTGAAGTAGATGGAGACATGACTTTAAATTATGGCGAGTTTGTGGCCATCTCTGTGCATTTTAAGAAGATTGGCGAACGACGAACACTTGCATAAGGCGTTTAGCTTTTTTGACAAGAACCATAGCGATTACATAGAGATTGAGGAGCTGCAGGAGGCTTTAAATGATACTAGCAGTGAGGAGGTTGTTGCAGCCATCATGCAAGATGTTGACACCGACAAGGTAACACCCTAAAATATAAGTCTTTAAGAAATGGAGACTTGTCTCAGTGATATTACGTGCGAACGCACACCAATTAACCTAATGTGCACACTACCACAATCGAATGGTATGTCGATGTAGCACTTTAGGATCGAATCCACAGAGACCAAATATTACACTTTACTTTTATAGGATCAAATTCAAGCTAAAACGATTAAGTGTTGTAAAGAATCAAAGCGTGAGAAACAAATAATTAAAATGAGTTTTACTTTCAGGATATAAGAATGTCAACCTAGGGTGTCTCATTGGGTGTTAACCATGCTGAACCAAACAATTATTCAAGCTTTTTAAGTGCAGCCTAGAACTCAGATTTCTTAACTAAAACACCCTGCTCTCGCAGGTGTGCTCCTTTCGCAGAGGAGCAAAGGTACCTATGCTCTCTCGTGGACCAGTACTCAGCAAACATTAAGCACATACCTAATATGCTCACATCACACCCTGATATCTACTTTCGCTGACCAGGGATGTGATGCTTGCTCTCAACAGATCTAGCAACCTAATTCAGGATTAATGATAAAAGATTAAACTTTGAATGAAATACTAAGTGATCAAATCAGTATCAGCAGTGAGAACAGTGGAGAGCAAAGGCGAGAATGATGTTTATCTATGTTTAGTTCAATGGATCAACACCCTAGAACCCTAGGTTAACAAATCGACTACTCAGCCATAACAACAGAGAACACAAAGTCAAGAGATGAAGAAGACATGAATATTATTGCAGATAAATATAAATAGGGTTCAGAGGATTCTTCTCTAGAACAAGAGAGATGATCTTCTCCCTTTACAAGTATCAAAATCANTGTTTAGTTCAATGGATCAACACCCTAGAACCCTAGGTTAACAAATCGACTACTCAGCCATAACAACAGAGAACACAAAGTCAAGAGATGAAGAAGACATGAATATTATTGCAGATAAATATAAATAGGGTTCAGAGGATTCTTCTCTAGAACAAGAGAGATGATCTTCTCCCTTTACAAGTATCAAAATCACAATATCTAAAAGTTCTAAGGTTTCTCCTCTCTCCAAAAGCGTTCTCTGTCTAGAAAAAAAATAGAATTGAATATGTCTGAAGGCCACAGGCGGCTGGGAGAAGAAAATAGAAAGATTAGGGCAAATCCCGAAATTAATTAGAAGTTTCCATAATTTTCGGGAGCAAAAGGGGGGTTTGCTTCGCGATAGAAGGAGCAAGCTGGGGGTTGCTCCGTTCGGGTGCTATGCGATGGAAAACTCTGGTTTTTGCATTCTTTCTTCCATATGCTCCTTCTGGTGCATTCCAACTCGTTCTACACCTGAAATAACTCAAAACACACTAAGAACACTCCAGGAAAGCATAAATATGATATGCAAAGTATGTGTGTAATATGTCAAAAACACAACATATCAATTCCCCCAGACTTGGGTCCTTGTTTGTCCTCAAACAATGTCAAGTTCCAGATCAGTGGGAAATGTTTGAAAGTGTGGGAACTCTCTCATTTCAGCAACCATACTTTAACCACAAATCTTTGAACCATACAAGCAGACATACTAGGACGACACACCCTTACCAGAACCCCCACTGACTGCTGTTGAAATCGGTTCCATACTCTATATCTCACACCTGCAAAAGTCAAACCTTCCAGACAAAAACTCCTTATATTCATTTAAGATCAGTGTGAGCTTCTTGTCATATGCATATTCAGGGAAAACGGGCTAGGTATGAGAAAGGCTTTTTCAGTGTTTAAAGTGGAGTTAACAAGTGTTTAGGGTTTACCATGTCTTTGTAGAAGATGTAGGATATCACACAAAATTGCCAGAGAGGATGGATCCATTGATCTCCACAACCCTCACTCGTTTTCTCTGCAGAGCAATCGTCGTGGAGCACTGACTCCTCTGCTCCGTACAGGTTTGCTCTCTTCCTTTCAGATCACCCCTTCTACATACTGTTTCATTTCCCACTTCAGTTCTTTGCTTCTCTGATCTACCAGGGGGAATGTTTCGGCGCTTCTCCTTCTCATCATCTCTTAGAACTCTTGGAACATAAATAATACTGATTTTTTTTTTCTTTTTTTTTTTTTTTTAAGATGACTTGAATAATGAAATGATGAGTTCTGATGATGATGATGACGAGAAGGAGGTAATTACATATATTGTGACTTAAGCACTTCTTTCACCATTTGATCTTGTATGCTCGGATCACCCTACTGGTTGCTCTCTTCTTGTTAGATCACCCCTATTGACTGCTCTCTTCTTGTCGGATCATGTACGTCTTTGCTCTGAAGCGTAGTCTGTGAGCAAAACGAGTGAGAGCAGTGTTGATCCTTTCCTCTCCAGCCCTTTTGCACATATCTGCACATATGAAACTTAAAAACAGAATGCATGAGGGTGAAACAAAGGTTTAAAGGTTCATGGTGGGAACTAGCTAAAGATGAGCTAGCCACTCATGATCAACAAGATGGATAGAAAGAATTAGGATGTCCTGAGTGTAATCTTGTTTCCCTAATCTAACGCCCATAACAAGAATAATTACGTCAATATTAGGTTAGAGTTAGGTGGAGTTTAAGTCTTTCAGAATAACCTCTACAAGCAGAAATCTTCTGGAGAGCAAGGTGATGTAAAGTCAAGGGGTGTTCCAGGTCCAGGTGAACGTCTTTCATCACTGCTAAGGTCACTGAATAAGATACTTAGAGCACGAGGTGGTTAGAAAGCATCATAAAATAAGGTCCTGATTCCCACATAAGTTTGACTGACTCGATCGTAGGACTGACTCAATAAATGAAAAACACAAACATGACTGACTCGATCGTAGGACTAACTCAATAAATGAAAAACACAAACATGACTGACTCAAGAAACAAAAACAGAAGCAAATAGAGTTCAAAAACACACAGGTGCCTCCCCCAGACTTACTTCACACCGTCCCTGGTGTGAAAATAAACCTAGAGGCAGCCAACCAGACTTACCTGGCGCGGAGCAACCCGACAGCGCAAGGTCGATTTGCTCCTTGGGTGTGCTCTGTCGGTAGAACAGAGGCATCTTTTTTTTTTTTTACCTGAAATTCAGTGAAATAAAAGCAAAATAAAAACTAAAGAAAAGTTCTAAAACAATTTAAACTCACCTGTGGGTTGCCTCCCACCAAACGCTTGGTTAAAGTCACTAGCTTGACTTTGGTGATGGGGATTAGTCTGCTGGAGCAGGAGGGCCTGTTCCAAAACAAGCTCCACAATCAGACATATTCAGCTTCAGAATCCTGCTCAACAACCCTTTCACAGCAGCTTCCCCTTTTTCCTTCAGCTCATGTGTGAGAATGGCTCTGACTTTAGAGAACGGTTTGGAGGTACCCTTGCCTTGAACCTCATACTCAATGGAGTTCTCATTACACTTGAGAGGTATCAAAGTCATTGTAGGATCTCCCTTGACCCTTTTCTTCTGGACTTTCTATTTCATCCTTGAATTCCCTCTTAATTTAGTAGGATCAGTGCCAGGATTTTCATCAGAGAACAGCCTGCTCTCACCCTTATCACCTTGCTCTCTCTCTGGAATCACTTGCAGATTTTCTACATCAAACACTGAGATGTAAGAGGCGTGTGATGAGGAATATCTGGTTGGTACAGCCTTGTAGAAAACTTTCTTGCTGATGTTGGAGAAGCAGACTCTCTTGTTAGGCATATCGATGGTTGCTCCAACAGTAGCCATGAATGTCCTTCCAAATATCAAAGGTATCTCATGATCTTTATCCATCTCAACAACTTGAAACTCAGCAGGAACAATGCAGTCCCCTACTTGGACATGAAGGCAGCGGATGGTTCCATATGGGACTGCTATAGAAGAGTTTGCAAAGGTCAGGCTCAGCTGAGAACGCTCAACACCAGAAATACCCTAATCGTCTACAATAGCCTTTGAGACGAGATTAACACAAGAACCAGAGTCACAAAGAGCGTCGTTGAAGGTTGTTCCTGCGATGGAACATGGGAAAACAAACTTTCCAGGATCATCAACCTTAGGCAATACCTTCAATGCTGGTGTAGACAGTGCTTTAGTATAGAAGACCTTGATCTCCTCTTGAGCCTCTCTACAGTTTTTAAAGAACTGGAGCAATGGGCGAATCTGCAGAGCATCTTCAAATGCAAGTTCTTTAGGAAGCTTTCTCACAATCTTGTTAAAACATGCCAGCTGCTTTTCACTAATTGGATCCCTCAGATGTCTGGGTGGGATTGGGTAGGGAACCCTAGGAACATAGACTCGAGCTGGTGGAGTTTCAGAAGATTTGTCGAGAGAAGTCTCTGCACAGCTTGTAGGTTGCTCTGTTTCGTCTGGAGCAATCTCAGCAGGTTGATCCGGAGTAGTCGGAGCGACCCCAGCGGATTGCTCTGGAATACTCGGAGCGACCCCATCAGGTTGCTTTGTAGTAGTCGGAGCGACCCCAGCTGGTTGCTCTGATTCCTTCTGCTTAGCTTTCTCTGCAGCAGTAAATCGCCTTGGTGTTGGATCACTCAGCTGTCTACCACCTCTCAATTCTACTGCATAACAATCCCTTGGATTTCTATCAGTTTTTCCAGAGAGCATCCCCTGCTGTCTCTTGACACTCTCTGCAGTCTGAGCGAGAGCAATGTCAATCTGGTGCATGTGACTGCTCACTGTGTCATATTTCGTGTTGAGCTCAGTGAACATGTTGTCCATCCTTGTGTTAATATCAGAAGTAGCCTGGTTTAATGCCTTGGCATGTATCTGTTGACTCTGGAGCAGCTGCTGCATCATGTTCCCTAAGGCTTTGATCTCACTCTGTCCACCCCCTGAATTAGCTGGAGCATCTTGCGGGTTGCTCTGCTGATTCCGATGGTTCTGATTTTGGTTCTGGCTTTGAAATCGGTTCTGAGCTTGGTTGAAAACAAAAGTCTTGCCTTGGAAACTCGAAGGGAAACCTCTCTGCTGCGGAGCACCTTGCTGCTGATTTCGCTGCATCTGATCCCCAGAGTTCTCTGCGTTGCTCCTTTGGTAAGAGAGCGGGTTAGGGTTGCTCTGGTAGTTGGGATTCTGATAATAGTTCCGGTTATGCACATACCCTTGACCATTGATGTAGAGAACTTCCTGATGATCCTCTCCCTTTGTTCCTCCCTCAGAAGCAAGATCATTCGCTATTTGCTCTGGTGTAGCCTCATCCATGTACATCACTTGCCCCTCATTGCTCTTCAGGAGCAGATCAACCTTGGCAGTGAGCTCATCTTTCTACTGAGCCTCGACACTGCTCACCTTCTTGGAGCGATCTGTTTCTGGGTTTTTGTTCGCAGAACTAGCAGCCATGTTCTCTATCAGCTCGTAATCACCCTCGGTGGTCTGTGTCATGAAGTCTCCCTTGCTCGAAGCATTGAGAGCATTGCGGAACTCCCACTCAACACCATCATAGAATATACCCAGAACATGATCTTCTCAAATCCGTGATGAGGGCACTCCCTGAGTGAATCATTGAATCGTCGCTCCCACACATCATTGAATGGTTCGTTTGCGTGCTGCTTGAAAGAAGAAATCTTATTCCTGAGAGTTGCTGTTTTAGCCTTCGTGTAGAAGTGTCCCAAGAAGGCTGATCTGACTTGCTCCCATGTAGTGAGAGAGCCTCTAGGGAGCGACTTGAGCCATCTTGAGGCTTTGTCCGCTAGAGAGAATGGGAAGAGCATACACTTGATGTAATCAGGAGGTACTCCATTAGCGTGAGTGAAGCTACAAATTTCTTCAAAAGCCTCAATGTGTTCCATAGGTATCTCAGCTGGAAGCCCATGGAACATCTTCCTCTGCACCAGATTGATCATAGCAGGCTTGATCTCGAAGTCTTGTCTGCCACAGGGTGGTGGAGCAATCACGGAACGCGTAGCAGGGATGTTCCGCGGCAGATTTCGCTCACTGATCTGAGCGGCTTGCTCCTGCTGATTGCGAGCAGCTTCTTGTGCGGCAATGGTCTGCTGCATCTGGAGCATTTGCTGTTGCATCAGAGCCAATGCTGCAGTGAGATCATTCTGGTCGCCGTGATCGCCCATTGTGGCGTGAGGTTGCCTCGGTTGTTGTCTGTTGGTTCTTTCTGATCTTGCTAACTCTTCGTTGGTGAGCGTGACTAATGGACTTGAGGTGTGGCTTCGAGTATTTCTACTGGTCATACACCTGGAACATCAGCTGCAAGCAAAGAAAAGATAGAGCAAGTTAGATGTTTTAGACTAGAAAAATTGCCAAAAAATAAAGGTAAAATTATTGGTCCCCGGCAACGGCGCCAAATTGATATCACGTGCGAACACACACCAATTAACCTAATGTGCACACTACCACAATCGAATGGTATGTCGATGTAGCACTTTAGGATCAAATCCACAGAGACCAAATATTACACTTTACTTTTATAGGATCAAATTCAAGCTAAAACGATTAAGTGTTGTAAAGAATCAAAGCGTGAGAAACAAATAATTAAAATGGGTTTTACTTTCAGGATATAAGGATGTCAACCTAGGGTGTCTCATTGGGTGTTAACCATGCTGAACCAAACAATTATTCAAGCTTTTTAAGTGCAGCCTAGAACTCAGATTTCTTAAATAGTACACCCTGCTCTCGCAGGTGTGCTCCTTTCGCAGAGGAGCAAAGGTACCTATGCTCTCGCGTGGACCAGTACTCAGCAAACATTAAGCATACACCTAATATGCTCACATCACACCCTGATATCTACTTTCGCTGACCAGGGATGTGATGCTTGCTCTCAACAGATCTAGCAACCTAATTCAGGATTAATGATAAAAAAATAAACTTTGAATCAAATACTAAGTGATCAAATCAGTATCAGCAGTGAGAACAGTGGAGAGCAAAGGCGAGAATGATGTTTATCTATGTTTAGTTCAATGGATCAACACCCTAGAACCCTAGGTTAACAAACCGACTACTCAGCCATAACAACAGAGAACACAAAGTCAAGAGATGAAGAAGACATGAATATTATTGCAGATAAATATAAATAGGGTTCAGAGGATTCTTCTCTAGAACAAGAGAGATGATCTTCTCCCTTTACAAGTATCAAATCACAATATCTAAAAGTTCTAAGGTTTCTCCTCTCTCCAAAAGCGTTCTCTGTCTGAAAAAAAATAGAATAGATTATGTCTGAAGGCCACAGGCGGCTGGGAGAAGAAAATAGAAAGATTAGGGCAAATCCCGAAATTAATTAGAAGTTTCCATAATTTTCGGGAGCAAAGGGGGGTTTGCTCCGCGATAGAAGGAGCAAGCTGGGGGTTGCTCCGTTCGGGTGCTCTGCGATGAAAAACTCTGGTTTTTGCATTATTTCTTCCATATGCTTCTTCTGGTGCATTCCAACTCGTTCTACACCTGAAATAACTCAAAACACACTAAGAACACTCCAGGAAAGCATAAATATGATATGCAAAGTATGTGTGTAATATGTCAAAAACACAACATATCACTCTTGTATCCTTTATGCTTGCTTTGTGATTATTAGGATGGAATAATAAGCTACGAAGAGTTTGCAGCGATGATGAAAGCTGGGATGGACTGGAGGAAAGCATCGAGACAGTACTCAAGGGAAAGGTTCAACAGTTTGAGCCTGAAGTTAATGAGAGATTGTACATTGTAAGTAGAAGGCGAGACATGAGAAAAAATGGGGTCTCTTTAAAAAGCATAGTAAACTCCATGGTACATGCTATCCTAGATAAAACAACTTCATATGATTCTTACCAATATAGTGTAGAAAATCTCATTTTGGCTAAACCCATGACATATATAATTTTTATTGTTTTTGTTTCAGGAAAGATTTATATAGTTTCAGGAAAGCTTTCCAGAAAATTTGATGTTAACAAATTTTGAAATATTTGGTACTTGGTTACGCATGATAGTAACACGATGGGAGTTTTATTACCTCTCTGACCAACACTACTTGAGCTGAAGTATTAGATTATTTTTGTTTGTATGATTTCTTAGAATGTTCAAGATAGCTTTCCTAATCATCTAAATCTCAGTCCCACAAGTGCAGCAGATGTGGCATACAACAGAGGACATGCCAGATGCCTATAGGATGAAGTTCCCTATTCATCTTTGCTCTATTCTTTTTCATTTCCATGTTTTTACATTTTTATTGATCATTTTCTGGATGTTGGTTATTTGATTGTTACGTGATATGGACCAGACCATATATACATTTACCTTTGGAACCTTATCCTGAATCAGTATAATGTCTTCCAATTTTTGGATCTCATCTCGATTCTTAGTTTATTGCTAGATGGTAATATTCATTTATTCTAGAAACCCATCCTGAAATACCAAAGTTCCTTCCAACATTTATACTATAATTTTCACGGTTAAATATATTTACGTAGAAGCATCCACTAGATGATTATCCTCAGCCTAGCGGCTAAACCACCTCTCTTTCGATAATGAAACACTTGACTCGACTCGGGTTCGATTCTCCTTCGAATCATGGTTGATCTGCTTTTTTTTTTGGTTCAAGCTTGGGGGAAAATGGATGGTTGATTAATCTAATGTTATCAACTTCTTGTGTATTGTGTTTCTCTCTCGTATTGTGTCTCAGTCAAAACAAAACAAAAGGTTAAGAATTTAGAGGATTACTGGTCTTGTATCTGGGTAATCTCGTTTTCATATTTGTTTCTAGAAAGCCATCTTGAATATTCCAAATGATATCCTATTCTGGATACCCATCCAGAAAATCGAAAGTTCTTTCCAACGTTTTTAATAAAAAATTATGCTTAACTATATTTATGCTTTACCTTCTACCAGAGGATTCTCCTCAGCCTAGCGGCTAAGCAACCTATTTTTTGAAACTGAATTACTTGCCTCAAACCGCGTTCGATTCTAAAGGTATTCGTACTGGCCACACCTTATTCCCCCTTTCCCAGACATCTCAGGACTGAATCATGTTAGTGTATATTTGTTCTTTTTTTCTTCAAAATTCCAAATCACAATTTGAAATTTTCCAAGTGTGCAGATATCAATCCTTAGGTTTTTTGATATCATTTCATTTTTTTTTAGTTTAAGAAAGAAACACACTAATATTCAACTATTCTGGAAACCCATCCATAAATTTTAAAATTATTTTCAACGTTTAGAATATTAATTTTTATTTCTTGTAACCCATCCTGAAAGCGCCACATGTTATCCTAGACATCCTAAAATTTCTTCAACAACATAAATGATAAAAACATTGTAGTGATCATTCATTACAACTTTTACTTGTCCAAGTAACATCAAAGTTCAAAACATAGTATAAAACATAACAAGTGTGACATTTTCACTTCTTGTTTCCTTCTTGGAAATCTTTATCCATAAACTGGTTGAAGATCTCACAACATAGCTTGCTTTGTAAGTTCATCTGAGTTTCTGGAAGGCTTTCCTGAAACTACACAAATACTTCTTGAACTTTATAAAATCTAGACAGTTTCACAAGCACAAGCAACAAGAGACTAACAATTTCATAAGCAACATTTCCAAACACATTCAAAAGATGCAAACAAACGACAAATGAACATGTAAGCATGCTTCGTGTTTCTTCAAATTTGTTAACATCAAATTTTTTGGAAAGCTTTCTTGGAACAACACAAATCTTTCATGAAATTTAGAAAACACTACACAGTTTCACTTAGTAAGTGAAGGCTTATGCTTACTCATTTTATTTTCTGGAAACCCATCCTAAAAGTAACATAAGCTACAAAAAGTACCAAACATTCTAATGAGGTACTGAATCTCCCACAGTGTTATGATCCTGCATAAACAAGTTAAACTTTTTATGAGATTTTCTGGAAAGCTATCCTGAATCTTAAAAAACCCTTCCTAAAATCGAAAAGAAAAACCCACAAACTTTCACAAGCATAAGCAACAAGAGACTAACAATGTCAATAAACAAATTCACAAGTCTATCAAAGATATCATATTGTGTAAGTCAAACAAGACACGAAGTAAAAAGTTTTTCAAATTTGTTAACATCAGATTTTCGGGAAAGCTTTCCAGAAACTACCTAAATCTTTCCTGAAATTAAAAAAAAAAAAAAACACTAGTTTCACAAATCTAAGCAAGATCTTGTGTTCCCACAATTTATCGGCCATAGATTTGAGCTCCAACAACTTTCAAGGACCTTTCCTTCTCTGGACATCAAACGCAATAAAGCTTCTCGGGTTAATAGTGGTTCTCTTCAGTTACAAAGAGTACCAAACAAATGTGTTCTTAACGAATCAAAATCAAACAAAAATGTCCTTAAAAAACTTTTATGTGTGTTCTTAACAAATGAAGATCATTTTCGATTAGGAAAGCTAAGCTAAGCTTAACAAATCAAAATCAACAAATCTAAACCTCCAACATATCGAGAAAAAGAACTAACACATCAACACACACAGACATGGAAATAAATAGCCAATAAAAATTCAACTGATCACAACAGCAGCATGTAACTTCTGTGTTACTAAATATCCAATCTCAGAGGCATTTGATCGAACATGTTAACGGCATAACGAAATCCCAGTAAGACATATACTTTTCCAATTTTCTGGAAGGCTTTCCTGAATTTACACAAGCAATAGTTGATCTAAAAAGCAACAGAATCAAGCAATCAAAGCAACACATACTCAGGAACACTCGGATCTCGAGAATAGTTTTGGATCTAGAAAGCAACATAAACAAAGGTATCTGAAAAATCAAAGAGATCTGAAAACCTTTTTGTTTCCAAATTGAAGCAGCCTTTTGATTTGAGATGGTAGCTTCGTGTTTTTCGCCGGAGAAGATGAAGGTGGTAGATTCGCCGGGATTTGTCGAGAGAAGAAGCGACGAGTCGTACAAAGTCAAGAGATTTCGTCTGTCTTGGTACTTTCGTCGTGAAAGAGAGTAGAATATGTGCTTTCGTCATCGTCGCCGGTTTTCGTTGACGGCGCCCATCGTGAGAGAGATCGGAGAGTGAGTTGAGAGAGAGAGAGAGAGAGAGAGAGAGAGAGAGAGAGAGAGAGAGAGAGAGAGAGAGAGAGAGAGAGAGAGAGAGAGAGAGAGAGAGAGAGAGAGAGAGAGCGAGAGAGAGAGAGAGAGAAAGAGAGAGAGAGAGAGAGAAAGAGAGAGAGAGAGAGAGGTTTTCCTAATTTTTATTTTTAACATAAAACAAGGGTAATAAAGTCATTCCGCGAATTAATAAATGTTAGTATTGAGACTTTCAGCTTCCTCTGCTAGTTTTGTGAAAAAAACTAAATAGACTATTATGGAGAATTGCCCTTACCACAGTTGAATACTTATATTTTTTTAAGTTGACAAAAATGTGTTTTCTTTTGGTGCATACGCATGCATTAATGCATTATACACAGTAAAAGTAACATAACTTATACGATCTACTATTTTTTATATTTGAAAGATATGAATATGATATGAACATCATCTTAAAGCTCTTTTTAAAAAAAGAAATAAATATGTGTCTTTATATAAAAATTTTAAAAGTACACATGAATAATAATATAACATATTTGACAAATAAATATGTAAAATACACATCTATCATCATTATATAAAGGGTATTTATCAATATGTGTTAATCTGCAAAACAGAATGAGACATTTGTTGAAAACAAATGAGAAATTTGTTGAAAACAAATGAGAAATTTGTTGAAAACAAATGAGACTTTTTTGTTAATGATAATTTAAATTTTGAAAAAAAATCATGTCCATCTAAAAAGATAAATTAGGTTTTTTATGATACTGTTATTTGGCGTACTCATATTGGTCAAAAAAAGATAAATAAGATTAAATAATAATGGGAAAAAAAGAAAGAATAGAAAAATGAAAAAAGAAAAACTAGATCAAAGACTGTAATGGCTTGGGATAAACATTATAATATTACATTACATATACATCATATTCTACTCATGTTTTTGATATGGTTATATGTTAATAAAAATTTTAATAGTTATACAATGCAATTCACCAATTTTACATATAATAATAAAAAACTAATATTTCTATTTCAATATATTTTTGTTTGAGTAATAGAATAGGAACTTATTTTTTAAAAGGAATGATAAGGAACTATACATAACAATTATTTTTCATAAATGATGTAAATACTAAGAATTTAATAGGAATTCATTGTTCCCATTAATTCAACTCAATGTGCTTGGTCATAACCGCGACTATCTCCGACGACACAAATTCTCTGGGGAGACATGAAAAGACACAAATGTAACAAGAGGGAATCAGACTAGTTAATGTTTGAGTCCTCACATATTAGTGTAACCCTGTATCTTACCAATTACAATCCAAGTGTCTGAACCCTAGCTCTAGCTATTTTCCATATTTAAATTTACTTAAGTTTAGAATATTTCATTTTTACTTATCTTGACAAGTACTGTAAATACCTCACATAGTTTAACCATTAGAATATTACGAATCTATTGTGTACCTTCATTCTCAGTGGATGCGATCCCTAAGTACTTCAACTCGACCTCTCTAGGCAAGATTATTGTAGTTTCATAGGATAATTTGATAGATTACATTAGGATACATAAACGCTAAAGGAACATCTGACAGGAAGAATCCTTTAGCAACCAAAGTTTCGACTTGCTTGAGGAGTTCCTCGTTCGTTTGCACTCATTTGGTAATGCGGTCGGTTGGGGAGAGATGCATCAGGAACAAGGTCGATCTGATGTTGGATATCACAGAGAGGAGGTAATCCTGGTGGAAGATCATCAGGAAACACATCGGCAAATTCTTCAATGATGGTTAAGAATTCTGGCTGGATGTGTTGCGATGTAATTGATGGTGCACGTGTTGGTATGAGTAAGAAAACATGTCCTTCTTGTCGCATAGCTGCTTCGAATGGTGCCTTCTGCAAGAGTAAAACTTGTGTCAATTGTGGGGTGTGTAGGAGTTGATGGTTTCAGCGTGAAACTGCGGCTGTTGAATTTGAATGTGTGACTATTTAGGTATCTGTCATGTATTACTCTCTGATTAAACTCCCAAGGACGGCCTAATAGTAGATGACAAGCATCCATTGAAACCACATCGAAATAGAGTTGATCTCGGTAAGCATCTCCAATAGAGAATGTGACTAAAGCCCGATGAGTAACACGAAGATCATTATTTTTTTGAAGCCATGCAAGCTGATACGGGTGCGGGTGTTCTTCATCCTCAAGTCGCAGTTTTTGCACAACATCAATGGCGATTAGGTTCTCACTGCTTATTGAATCAATAATCATCTTACAAACTTTTCTTGTGACAGTGCAACGTCTTTGGAACAGGGCATGATGTTGAGGGTGTTGAGTTGGTGCATGTGGTGCGAGACATGATCGTCGTAGCATCAAAGAGACACATGAGTCAGCTTCCAGCACTACAAAAAATGGTATTGGTAGCACAAGAAAACCCTATCATATGTCATAAATAGCGTATTATGGACCACTATGTCTGCCCCAGATATAATAGGTCTCCTACTTATGATAGGAGTTTTCTAGAGGCTACTATATCGTAAACCTATAATAGCTTAGTTTTTGCTATTTGCTATTTGCTATTACAGGATTTTGTTGTTTATATTTATATTTTAAAATTATTAATCATAATTAATATATTTGAAATAAATTAAAAATTATAATCGATTTTTAATATAATTGGTTTGATACTAAAATTTTGTGTTAAAAAAAGAAGAAGTAAATTTTGGTTTACAAATGATATCGGTGTAGAAATCTAAACCTAAAGCTTAACCTAAAACAAAACACAAAAAACAAAAAAAAATTAACCCTACAGCTAAATCTTTGCCATCAACTTCAACTTCAGTGGTTTGAACAACCACCGTCAAAGCTCAACATTGCCTCTGAACTAATCCATCAAGCTCTTCTCTTCCACCACCATCAAGCTCATCCTCTAGTGCTTCTCATCTATCTCTCCTCCCTCATCTCTGAATAAACTTCAACTTTTTCTCTTCTCTCTTGCTCGACTCAAACTCCATCTAATGTCCCCGCAGCTAACGACCCACTGCTTCTGCTAGCCTCCTACTCCATCAAGCTCCTCTTTCTTGTCCACCTTCCCGTAACAAGAACAAAATAAATCAAACCACATAGAAAGAGAGTGAGAGACAGTGAGAGATGACCAGTGAGGGTGGTCATAACGAGCGGTGATGGTAGAGACTCTGGTGAAGACATATACCGGTGAAGGCAGATCTGAGAAACGGCAGAGAAGCTCATAAGGCACAGAGCTTATCTCGGCCTAATCAAAACGGCTCGTCTCTGGGCTTCGTCATTAAGCAGATGAGCTTTGCGAGAAACAGAAGTTGAATGCGAGCCCTTTATCTTCTTGTCTCGAGACATGCTTCTTCGATCTGGCGTACAAAAAAATGAAAGAAGAAGAAAGTAATAAAGAGAGAGAGAGAGAGAGAGAGAGAGAGAGAGAGAGAGAGAGAGAGAGAGAGAGAGAGAGAGATCTAATCTGGACCCAAAGATGTTAATGTGGGGTAAAATTACCTAGCCCAGCCCAACCCACACAATACCCAACCCACAAAAACTCAAAACATTCTGCTAGTAGTTCAACCTAGAAAATAACCCAATAGAATATGGGTTGACCTACGGGTACCCAAGTTAGCATTTTTATGTTTTTAAGAATTTCATGAGTTATTAGACTTGTTACAAATTTTTATTTATTTATTTATTTATTTTTAATAATTTGGTTTAATGGGAAAATAGAATTTTACGAATTTGTCGAGAAAACAAGATTATGCATTTTTTTGGCAGGAAGTTTTTTTCGGGAAATTTTTTTTTCTGGTATGGCGGGAAATTCAGTTTCCAATTTTGGTGATCAAACGGATTTTTTGGTTTTACAGAAAAATTCATTTTTTGGGAAGCGTGTTTTGCGGCAAAACTCAATTTTTTAGGGAAAACTTGTTTTCCGATTTTGGCGGAAAAACATGTTTTCTCAATTTTGGCAGGAAAATTATTTGCGGTTTTGCAGAGAAAAAATGTTTTTCGATTTTGGCGGATAAATACGTTTTCTGAACCCAAGGATGTTAATGTGGAGTAAAATTACCCAGTCCAGCCCAGCCCACACAATACCCAGACCATTTTAAATCCAACCCACAAAAACCCAAAAACATTTTGCTAGTAATTTCAACCTAGAAAATAACCCAATAGAATATGGGTTGACCTACGGGTACCCAAGTGAGCATTCTTATGTTTTTGAGAATTTCATGAGTTATTAGACTTGTTACAAAAATTTATTTTTATTTTTATATTTTTAATACTTTGGGTTAATGGGAAAATAAAATTTTATGATTTTTCCGGGAAAATAAGATTTTGCATTTTTTAGCTGGAATTTTTTTGCTGAAAATTTTGCTTTCTGGTATGGTGGGAAACTCGTTTTCTGATTTTGTTGTGCAAACGCATTTTTTGGTTTTGGCGAGAAAATTCGTTTTTTTGGGCAAACATGTTTTACGGCAAAACTCATTTTTTGGGAAAACTTGTTTTCCGGTTTTGGCGGGAAAAACACGTTTTCCCAATTTTGGCAGGAAAAACGTTTTTGCGGTTTTGACGGGAAAACATATTTTTCAATTTTGGCGGAAAAACATGTTTTCTGGTTTTGGCGGGAAAACTCCTTTTCTAGTTTTGGTGGGAAAACTCATTTTCAGATATAGAAATATAGGAACCATTCGGATATATAAGAATTTTTGTCCGGTTTCGGTTTCGGGTACTTCGGTTCGGTTCTAGTTCGATTTTCGGTTCCGGTTTTTTTTTTTCAGGCCTACAACTGATGTGCATACACAGAAACAAGGCAGCTACACACACTAACTCATACCACAGTAAGATAAACAATTTAATTTTATGTACTATGATATTTGGTAGTTCGAGAACTACGATTTAATTA